GGCTCTCCCTCTGACCTCTACGTTCTGCCAGTTCGCGTACTTGAAGTGCTGCTCTCCCCATCTCATCAGACTGACCTTCCTGAGGGTCGCCGCTCACCCTCCTCTGCTAGCGCTCAAGCCCTCACACTGCGCAGAATGGTGCTTCACCTCTGCAAGCGCGGCTACTTTCGTTCGATTGCCCTCCTCATCGAACGCCAGACCACTAGTCCCGTCTCCGACGCCGAGAACGGAGGAGAGGAGGAGGAGGCCGACCTGGACCCCGAGGAATTTGTTCGACAGCCGAAGCACCGGGCAATGCTGGATCTTCTTCAGATTCCCTTCCAGGTTACTTTAATCTCTACCCTCTTCCCTCTTTTTTACTCTGCCGTTTAGTCGCCCTTTCTGACAAAATACCGCACTTTTCGACGATCGACTAAAACTCATTTTTGTATACTTCGGTTACATACCAAAACGACGATGGCCTGCTATGCGCAGCGTGGGAGTTTTAACCCGTACGAGCAGCGTCCTTGGCAGCCTGATTAGTATAGTTTACGGTTTGGGTTGATTGATAGTCGCAATGCTGTTGCAGTTAGATGTTGTAGGTCCACGCAATCAGGATTGATCGACGACTGTGATCGTCATGTGAATTTCAATATTCCTAGTCAAAACCGTCAGTTAAGGAGCCTCCGGATCGACTGCTAGAACGTACGATTGAGCGGTCAACTAAACTTGCGTGCTAACTTTGGGTCTTCCTTGCCAAGAATTGAGGCCTGGCTTGCTGACGGCGTCCTTATAAATGACACTTTGCGGACATCCTTATGACTTGAATATCTGAGAGAACTGGGACGGAGGCTAGTACTTAGCGAAGTGGAAAACGTTGTCGCTAACAGAAGTAAGGAAGCCTGTTTCAACCAGAGCGTTACGGTGTCTTACTGTCAAGAGACCGGGTTTGTACCATCAGCAGGTACTTCACTACCGATGACTGCCGCACCAGCTTGGGACACTCAGCCCTGCCCCTGTCCTGTTTTGTCGACAATGCCAAGGATCGCAATCGACCTTCTGTGATCAGTTTTCAGTTCTGATGATTGAAACTAACGCCCTAATTATGAGTCCATGCGCTGTTTATTTTTGCAAATATTTCATATGCAGTCTCACTCACATTAAAGTTTTGAGGCTACACACGCGATCGTTACCACGAGCAAACCTAGCGCACCACTAAAAAGAGACATAGTGGCTAGATCAAGAACTTCATTAGCCTGATTTTGCTAGTTCTCACTCGCAGCCATCATCAGAGAGAACATTAGAGAAGGTCTGTTGGTTGCACGGGTGTTGCAGTATGTACAGAGGTTATACAGTATACAGTATGGCGAGTGCTGCAAGAAGCATTCCGCAATTTGAACAAGACGGTAATCACTCGTAAACCAACATTGAGTAGGGTTACGATACTGTTTATCATGTAGTCCAATTTCAATTATTTTCAGTCACACTAGGATGCCGACTCTGTGATAAGCTTCCTTCTAACCGCTGCGAGAAATTGATTCTGTAAAAAATGGTTACTTAAATAGTATGCATTTTTATCATTGTTTTTGACTGCCTTTATAAATTCAAATATATTTTATGGAAAGCATGCACGAAAGATCCTCTCTTGTACTAATTTGATAGCAAATTACGCCTTCTTTATATTTTATTCCTAAAGGAAAGGTTTCCTTCAGTTTTAAAAAAAAGTTTCTAAATTGCCGAATGATTTTGAAGCCTACCGACTGCTATAACTGAATTCAAGTCTTACAAACTGAATGCGCTGTTCATCCTGTTTAAGGAAAAGTACGTCCTTGCCTACGGTTTGGGGAAGTGGTTGCATAGCTCTCATGGAATTTCGCAATAGACATGGATCATGCTGTATATATCAGAGGCAGCACTAATAAATTGACGGATACGATGTATTATGAATGCACACCGCACAGTCGAAAAAAAATTCAAAATTAGAATTTTTTTAAACCGAAGGAAACCTTCCTTTCTTCCTACTCCCTTGATGCGTCGCTATCTGCCTCTAAGTCGTAGTGCTTGAAGTCTTAATCACTTCGTTTCTAGCAGTTTCCACACCAACAATTACGAATGGGCATTTCTTACATGGCCTGCCGGCACGACGTGGCTGTACGCTAAATTCCTGGAAATTACGATCAACGTTAGGATACGGATGTTATTAACCTTCGTGGAATGTACCATAAGGCTACCATCTGTATTCAAACTCCCTAAGATCCCTCATGTAAAATGTTTACTCACACATTTATGGGTACCGTCCGTGACATCATGGAGGCTGGCTAGATCAGGCATTATCACAGCCGTAGCAAGTACAAGAGAGAGAGATAAGCTTTATTTTGAAAATATCATTCCAAAATTTTCAGTAAAAACGTCTTCCATTATTCACAAGGAGTAAAATTAGGCGCAAAAATTCACAGCACCGGGAAGTCAAAAGCAATCCATACTCGTCACTGACTGCAGTTGTCGGCATCGTGGATGAATGTCTTTGGAAAATTCGTTAAATATAGGCCAAATTGGACTGCTTTCAAAACGGCGCTAGCGCCGTGCACCGTTGACCTCATTGTAGTTGAAATAAACAAAGAAGGATAAAAATCGGTTTGTGATGCACAAAGTAGGCCAACCGACGTACATATAAGAAAATTCAAATGCATATGGAGGGAGGGAGGATAAAAATGGCGGCTCAATTTAAAAAGTAGCTGCCTATTGAGAAGAAGACGACTCGATCGTCGCTGTAACAGCGATCGAGTCGTCTTCAATTATTCCTTGGAACTCGCATGTTCGCTTATATTGGCAAGTAACTGCCTATATTACCTTGGTGAGGGGGGGGGGAATAAGCAATTCCGTCCCCGGTTAAGCCTGAGGTCGCCTTTTCTCCCGTTCTGGTCAACGTAGAGGTTTGCTACATACTACGGATGCCAGTAGCTCGTGTTACCTCCTATTCTTTTTGTTCCTCTTTTAGCATTACACCCTGAGCAACACAGCCACAACTGATCAGTTGACTGTGGACTTCCTGTCGGCCGCCCTCACCGACTCCCTCTCGGCCAACGCTGAGGACAACTACGCCGTCTCTGTAAAAATTTCTCGGCTTGTTATTCCAACCATCCTGAAGGCTATTCCCTCTGAACTTCTGATTGGCCAGCTCTTTACCGCAGCTTCCAGGGCCGAGGCCAGTGGAGGAGTAACCACAACGGGACTTCGCCCCACTCTCGGTAGGAATGCATTGTTGCGTTTATTCGTTAAAAGTACCGCACGGCTCCGAATTCGTGCAACATGCCGACATTTGCGAAAGATTGATACGCACTCGCTAATCGGCATTGAGTAAGGGGCAAGAAAGATTATAGAGGCCGAAAAATCCCGCCGACTTAAAACAAAAAACTACTCTCAAATGTTCGATAGCCTGACTTTAAATATTTTTGTTAAATTTCACCAATAGGAGGACGAATTTCCATTTTCGTTAAATTCCGCCTACTTAAGGTCAAATTTCCCTCCACTAGCTTTCGTATTCTGCGCAATAGAGGTTTATCCTGATTGAATTTAATTCTATTCCGTATATTAAAACAAACGTAATCTTTTCGAGTCGATAATGGGCATCAGTTATGAATGCTCCAATCATAATCTAATTTAATTTAATTTTTTTGATCAATTCGCCACAATTACATATTTATTTACGCTCACTAGCCAAGAATTAAGTGTTTAACCACAGAATACTTTAAGCAGTTTGGCGGGTGGAATAGATACCTTGTGGGCCCTACAAATCAGTTTTGCCGAGTAAGGTTTTAATACTTATTATCGTGTTGTGCTATTCTGAAGTCATGTCAGTCACGGTAGGCTGCTGGCCTTTTAACGAGCTTCGTTCTGACCGCTAGCAAAACGTATTAACTTTAAAAAATGACTACTTTAGTAGTAAGTATTTTTATCACTGGTTTTTAAGTTGACCCAGTTGTGAAAAAACTATCGGTATTCGGCGGGATTTGAACCCGCCTAATAGAGAAGGCCTTTACGCAAGGCCAATACTTTCCCAGTTGAGCTACAAATGCCACGCTCCATTGGTTTCACGGTATAACACCATTACTCAATGTTGATTAGCGAGTGCGCATCAACCTATCGCAAATGTCGGCATGTTGCACGAATTCGGAGCCGTACTAGATTTTTGTTAGGATCGTTGTGTGTTTATGCTGACATTTCTCCTTTCACCAGCTCTGCTTCACTACTTCGTCCGGCAAATTGTTCCTGGTCTTATCAACATGGAGGATACCAGTGCGAGCTCGTTGGTAACCGCAAGGCAGGCACAGCAGCGAAAGATGGACACAGCCTCTCCACCCTCTGATATTATAATGACGGAGGAGGAGCCCGCTGAACTGCTTTGGGCCTCCACTGCAGCAACAGCGACCACAGTCTCCGAGTTTGCACCCCTCCAGACCGCCCGCGTGCTTGCCAGTCTCCGCATCATGGCTTGGATGTTTAGGGCCCTGCTGCGGGATCGCTGTACGCCCAGCCGATTCTCACCGCCCTTCCCACCGACACCGCTACAACTCACTGGTGATGAAGGCCTCTCCGATGACGAGGAGGACGAGGATGAGGAGGAACTAGAGAGACTGTCCAGTACCTACATCTCTTCCGACAGGTCCAACTCACGCACAGACACTACCCTGAATGATTTCGTCCCGGCCTGGGTAATTGTGCGCTCTTTTTATGGGGGAGGGGGCGGGGAGCCTGGCGACCGAATGCGTTCGTCGTCTAAACTCTGTCTTTCTGCACTTTTTTGCTCATAGCCCTCACAGGTAGTGGAAGTGTTCACCGGTCTCCAGGCCTGTCTACCTTCCCTCGCATTCGTCGCCCTTCAAAGTCTTCACTCGGCACAGCAGCCGACCCCTGTTGAGCCAGATCTCCCAATGACTGAAACTATTGCCACCCTCTACTACATGCTAGCCTTTGTGAAGTGTGCTTCCGCAAACAGTCTCATCCCGTAAGTGTCCCTTTGCGTATCTTCTTTCAAGCAGGGCCGTCCTAACTCTTGCTGTCTGTATCACCTTTGTTTTTTGTTGTCTCCTCTGCAGCCTACACTCCGTTCTCTCGCAGTTTCCGGCCTTTTTGCGGGATCTGTGGCATCTAGCCGAGTCCATGGATGACACTCTGGTTGCCTGTGTCAGAAGACCTCTTGAGGATGCCGAAAAGTGGCGACCCAGAGTAAAACTCTTCGAATTTGTTTCCTCCGGCGAGATGGATTGTCTTCCGCCAAACATTGATAGGTAACTGCTTTCTCGTTGTTTTGCTGCGCGCCTTCTCGACTGAGTCAAACTCGCCTGCGAGGGGTGTTTCTACGTAGAAATAGAATACACCAGTTATTCAGTGATAGTGCTGAAAATTCGATTCCCGGGTGGTAGATCAGAAGAAGGAGGAGC